ATACGGGCCTAAGTACTTCGTACTATGGGTAAATAATATGTAATTCTAGTCTATGCATATCAGATACTTGGCAATGCTGCTTGAATTGTTATCGTTATATTAATGGTGGTACCCTTTGCACAAAAGCCTTGTTAACGAAAACCTCTAGAATCGCGCACAAACGGCGTTTGTACTACGTATATTACTACGTATTTCGGGCATGTACTACGTACCAAGTATTACCCTTCAAACGTGCCTCAAAAGTTTAGTTTGTATTTTAAACCTCCTGATCATCTTACTTTCGAGGGGTGATACTTACGCCTGGGACGTGAAACTAAACTTTTCAGGCACCCTCGAGGGGTAATACTTAGGCCTGTACCGTGGTAGTACTACGTACTAGGTATAACCGTGCGGTAATAAGGGAAGCTATCGGCAACCGGCTACTCTTGGTCTTACTTCAGACACTTGTTGACTTTCTTGACTTGATTATGGCCGGGAGCTTTCAGGTTTCTACTTCCCCCCTCCATGAATACATGTCGGACCCAGTTTAGGCCCATCAATCATAGAGCGGTGGTTTCTGAATGGCCCAAAGCCTTGTCAACTCTATTATACAGACTTAAATCTGACCTAAAAATACTTTTCAAGGCTGGATTCTCATAAGTTACTATAATTGGTTTAAGCTCTGGCAGGATCCCTTGCGAAATTATACTTTCGATACGTCTTCATACTACGTACGTAATACTACGTACTTCTGGGGGAGGATAGTAATGCCTGACGATGATTCTCGAAAAGTTGATTTCCTTTTATAGAAAAACCCCTTTGTTTCGAATTATCTTATGGCCTGCCTTGTAAGAAGTATATTGCTCGTATTTTTTATATTAGCGACTAAAAGTATACATACGAAATACTACGTCGCAGGCGTAAGTATTACCCCTCGAGGGTAGGGAAAACAGGGGGTTTAAAGTGGAAACCAAACTTTTAAGGCACCCTGGAGGGGTAATACTTAGGCCTGTACCGTGGTAGGGTCCGATTATTTCTTATGCATCTTAGAAAAGCCGCCCAGCCAAATCCACCTGCTGCTTTATGCAAGGAAACTTTTAGTAATGCCGTTTATATTATTCAATTCTCGATTATAATTTTTAAGCTGTTCATATTTATAATGTGAAAAATCCTGTATTACGTCCCAGGCGTAAGTATTACCCCTCGAAGGTAAAATAATCAGAAGGTTTAAAATAAAAACTAAACTTTTGAGGCACGTTCGAAGGGTAATACTTAGGCCTGTACCGTGGTATTTTCCTTTACTATACCGATATCTGTAGCTTTTTAGTTCGAAGGTTGTAGTTGCAACGAGCGCGCTATTTGCATATATCGTTAAGGTAGCATACGTATCTCATATACGTAGTAAGTCTTCTCGCTATTCGGACACTTAAGCTTTTATCGCTCGTAAATAACTTGATTGAGTACTGCGTCTTTAAAAGCTTTTAGAATATGAAATACATCGCCTTGCTGAATTGAAACAAGTTTCTTTTAAAAAGCTTTAAGAAATGGATTGTAATAAAGATTTCCGCTATTATAGCCAAACAAATCGCGATAATTATACTAAAGTTGCAATTGTATAAAATTCAAGTAAAAGGGGCATTAGTAAAAATTTTCTTGCGTAAAGCAGCAAGTAGATTTGGCTAGACGGCCTATTTAAAAAGTAGGTTCAGGCATAAGAAAAACAGCTCCACAATGTTCGAGGTATAGGAAATTATCGGCTTACGAAATTGCCGGGCCACTTCGCAATTACAACTATATAAGATGAGCTGTTCCTCTTCGTATCTTCACTCTGATCATACACAACCATCACACATTATCATTACAGTGCTCTACAGTCTTCTTATAAGCTCAATCTTCTTATAAGCTCAATTCGCTGAAACGATCACCTTTATCTACCAACTTTATTATGCGTTTCAATAACAACTTCTTGATCGCCTCCTTCCTCGGCGTCGCAACCGCCCTCCGCCGGGGCTGCAGTCCCGACATTAATAGCGGCTCGCCCATGGCCGCCGGCACCGGCTTTTACACCATCGTAGAATCCGACACCATAGAAATTGTCGCGGCTGACTTTTGCACCGATGTACCTACGCTGGAAAGGATCAACCATTACCCTGAGGCCACTTTCAGCAAAGGAAACATTTATAGAGTTCCTTGCAGAGCTCGAAATCGCGATTGCGCTAGGATCCAGGGCAGTGATAAAGGGTATTACACGATCAATGAAGGCGATATGTTGAAAGGAATTGCGGAAGATTTCTGCACTAGTACTGAGAATTTAGAAGCGTTGAACCCCGACTTGATTAAGTTCGCCCCCGACGACATGCCCCTCGGCGATAGACTCAAAGTTCCTTGCTCCTGGAACTAGCTATAATAAAGGCCTTATCCACTCTCTCGCTCTGCCCATTGCGGGGCTATGATAAGCATGGAATTAGTGACGGAATGGGTTGTGGATTGGACTTTAAAGCTGAGATCTACTAAGCAGTTGGACTGCTCCTCTTATCTTCTTCGACAATAGAGTTGAGCTCAATGTATTTCGGAAGGACGGAGGTTGGTAGATAGAAACTAGGTCTATCTTTATTATAAGCTATTAAAGACCTTATCATCAACAAATAAAAACATGGTATCAAGGATTATAATCCGCACATCGATTCTTATTGTGCAAAAACAGATATGCAATACACATTGCAATGACTAGTATTATAACCCTATATATCCCGCAGGATACACTACCCAGAGCTGGCCGTTTAACGCTTACCGATTGCTTTATAAACCACGTAGCGATTACTACCTTAAAGGCAGGTAGGGGGTTATTTAAACCATCAGCTGACAATCCAATGACGGTCTCTTTAAAAGACGATTCTAAAAGGTTGGCATAGTTAGTAGATCACTTTAAGGCGATACTTAAAATTGAATAGAATTTGAAAATAAAGGATTTAAATTATTTAAATCGTAGCTGAAATAAAACTATTTCAATCGATTAAATCCTCTTTTATAAAAGCTTGTCTTTTCGTTAAAAGATTAATATTAAAATAAGACCGTTTTAATCGATTAAATCGTCGTTGATAAAAGTCGGTCTTTTTACGAAAAGACCGTCTTATAGCCGTCCTAAGGCCATCCCAAGGCCGTCCTTAAACTTGAAACCGTCCCGGAGAACGTTGATTAGTAAGCAAATAATCTCTTTTTTTTTTCAATTATTTAGCAGTCTACCCTCTACTAAGTATACCACCCCTTTATTACACTACACCCTTATTACACTACCCCCTTATTACACCATCCCCTCTAGAGTCGAAGAAGGCGCATACACGCGGGGGAACTTTTATTTAATCGATCGATTTCGATTATAAAAAATTTAAAGCGTTGATATATAAGCCGTAGCAGCGACACCGAGAAATATTTTAGCATCGAATTTATTAAATTATTATTGAAACAATTTTACTACCCCCCCTCCCCCCCCCAATAAATAAATATCGGACCCAGTTTAGGCCCATAAATCATAAAGCGGTGGTTTCTTAATGGCCCAAAGCTCTGTCGACTCTATTGTATAGACTAAATACTGGCTCGAAGATACTTTTCAAGGCTAAATCCTTATAAGTTGATTGGTTTAAGCCCTGGTAAGATCCCCTGCGAAATTATACTTTCGACATTTATTCATAAGGGGGGGGGGGAAGGTAGTATTTAAGAAACGATTTTTATTTTTTGTCACCAACGGTGACCTAAGATAGATTCCAGTAATTATGATAGTGGTTAATTATCTAATCACGTAAGACTATTTTATACGGATCTGGCAGGATTTATAAGCGTGCCAAGACTTTTATTCCATATCAATCTATTGAACTTTTTTCGGAACGGGTCGGCCCGTTTAAACAACAGCTAAGCCTAATTCAGCCACTGTTATTAATTCTGCTATACGTAACGCACGCCGCTGCTTTACGTAACGCACGTCGCTGCCTTACGTAATACGTAAGGCAGCTAGGCTGCCACACGTAACCTACGTAAGGCTGCCATACGTAATTTACGTAAGGCTGCTATACCGTATACGTAACGCACGTCGCTGCCTTACGTAATACGCAAGGCAGCTAGGCTGCCACACGTAACCTACGTAAGGCTGCTATACGTAACCTACGTAAGGCTGTCATACGTAAAGCACGTCGTTGCCTTAAATATAAGTGATTCGCAAAAGGGTCTAGAATTTCTTTATTAAAACCAGGGCAAAGGACCAAGTTCTTTGTAATGTTACCAACGGGCTAATTACTCGATTATAAAAATCTTTATATATTTAAGTAAATTATAAAATAAATAATAATAAGAACTAAAAACAATATGAAGGTAGTTAACGTAAGAAATAGTTTATTTAATAATTTGTTAAAAAAAAGAAACCTTTTAAAAACCTCTCTTTTACCGGAAAGACTTAAGACCCTTTTACAAGTTACTTATATTTGATAATTCAATATAAGGGGGAGACCCCCTTAAACTCCTCTGTTGGATTGCTTCTAAGCGATTAGGAATATATTCGTAAGGTCGTAACGTTCGTCAAAGTACTTGCAATTGCAAAACACTCGGTTGATAAGGTATCTGAATTCTGTCTGCTCCTTAAGGCTTAAAGGAGCTGAATCCTTCTATATGATTAAAAGGAATTACGTGCACTAGCTAGTTAATAGGTTTCCTTGTCAAGTTGAGGGTCCCTTGACTGCTGACATATTAAGCGAGGCATGCTAAGTGGCTCGTGAACCCTGGTTCACGAGTGAACTCCTTAACTACTATTATTATTACGATTACTATTAGCTAAAGTCGATATAGATATACCGACACCGGCAACTCTCTCTTTGGCAAGCAATGCTTTGTTAACTATTATATCGACCGAAAAAGGAAAGAAAGTATTATATAAAAGAAAAAAACAATTTCACTTTTCTAAACCTCATACTTATTACAGCGGCTTTTCTACTTATCTATCTACTTGCACCTTTAAAGTATTAATTAAAACTAACTCTTGCAAAGAGTTATTAACTTCGATTTTAGTCATAGCGTCAGCAGGGTTAGATTTACCTTCGATCTAGCGTATCTTAAAAAGCTTTCGCTTTTCGTATGATTCACGAATAGCTATAATATCGATCATAAAGCGCTTCTCTTTAATAGTCTTTAACTTTATTATATACTCGTATAACGAGTAAGAGTTAGTGCACACAACTACGAAGAAGTTAAAGATCTTTAGCTAAGCTATAATTTAAGCAAAAGTAGTTGGTATAACAATAGCTATATCGATATTTAAAAACATAGCGTATAGCTTGAAAGCTAATACTGCTTTTGTCACTCTCTTGCACTTCTATAACACTTAATAGAAAATATTACTCGTTAAAGTGAACTCGTTTTTACTTACGTAAGCTTTATTGCTAAAGATAGCTACGAAACCGATCTAAGAGTTAAAATCAGCGTTATTAACAAACGCTTCGTTTACGAACATAAAAAGCTTCGTTATTCTTAAATCTAAAAGTACGTAATAAATCTTTCGTATTAAATGATCAATTAATTATTAAATCACTTTATTAAAAGCTTTATAGTCTTCGTCTTTCGGTTCTTAATGCTAAGCAGCTATCGATAAAGCGCACGATACTTTTAAGTAGCAAATAGTAGCTAAATACGCTTTTCGAGCACGTTGCTTTAAGTACTCTTTAGCTTATATAATTGAATCGAGCTTGATCACGGCAAGCCTTTTACTTTGCTTTTTCTGCTCGACTAATAGCTCGAACTCGTTTTTATCTAAAGATAACTTGCATCTATTGAAAATCATCGGTTCGGCGTATATAAAAGTCTTTATTTCTTTACTCTTTAGCATAAATTTAATTAACTCTTTCTTTTCTTTTGCTTTTATAGCTCGATTAACAATTATAAGAACATCGTCCGTTTGTAAAGCAGTTATTCCTAGCTGATCTTTATTAATTAATATAAAAAAGCAAAAGTCAAAGCTCAATTGTCTTATGCTAAAGTTGTTTATAAAGTGCTCGGAAAAACGCTTATATCAATACGTCTTTGCTTCGAAGATGCCGTATAAAAAGCTAGTCATAAAGAATAGCGTGCTAAAAAGAAATCGATAAGTGATCTCTTTAAATAGTCGTACGACGATTATTAGTATAAGCTTCGTACTTAACTAAGTGTAAGCTTGCGTAATATCTTTATTATAAACTTAATACTCGTAATCTTTTATTAGCGAAAAAGCTAAAGCATAATAAAGTCTTTAGCCCGTTCGCTATATTATAAGCGACTCGATAAATACTTTCGTTTTGCTTTATCTTAAAAAGCTTAAACTATTATATAAGACTTTTCGTATAACGTAAGTGTTCTTTTGCTTTTGATCTTATTAACAAACTTAAATCCGAAGATCTTAACGCTTTTAGCACGTAGATTAGTGCTTAAGATCATTTAAAAATGCTTTAAGCTATCAATCTTGCTAATTCCTTTGCTTTAAGCTTTTAAAACGGAGCTTCGAAGCTCTTAATAATCCCTTCGGCTCGTAGTTTAGCTGAAAGCTTATAATCTCGGCGTTTTTTATCGGTTACGAACACCTCGGAGTCTTTAATAAATAAAGCGTAAGAATCGTCTTCTTTTTCGTCGAGCATAATCGAGATATTTAAATCGTACTTCTAGTAAAGTATTTAAACTATTAGTATTATTGATCTTTAAGAATTGATAAGTTAAGGGTTCGAAAAAGAGCTGTTTGCTAATCTTAACGAACTTATCGGATTACGCGAACTCGATAAATTAAGCGAATGTTAAGGTTTTAATGAATTTTTTAGTTCTAGCTTTTTTTCGCTTTCGCTTTAATCTTTTTCTACTTTTACTTTTAATACTTGCAACTCTTTTAACAGCTTTTTAACTTTAAAGTAATATAATTTTACAAAAGTAAACTTGAATTCCGTAAGTCTCGGACATGCTATTGTATACGTATGCTCTTGCTTGCTAAGTAGCTGAAAAAGGCTTTTCTACTCTTGATTCTCTCGCTACACGAGTACTTGTGAACTAATTAGCAAATTTAAAGTGTGCTTCGTAATTAACCCTTTCTTATTTTTAAGCGCGTCCTTAACTTACTTCGCCGCGTAGCATTTCCGTACCTCTTTTATAGCTTTATTAATAGCAGCAGCACGCTCTTAAGTAAACGCAGCAAGTCGATTTTGTTTCGTTAGCTTCGTTAAAGTATCAAAAAACAAAAAGTATAAAAACTAAGCTATTAAGTCTAGCTATATCGTTGATAGCTTTAATAACTATTTAAAGCCGATCTTTCCTTAAAGCTTTAAGAAGCTCTTTTATAACGATCTTAAAAGCGCGTCGCACAAAAACGTAATAGCGTTTTATTAGCTCGACGCTATAATAAGC